TGCTCCTATTCGGTTGGAAATTTATTGTCGCATCTACGAACATGAGTCCTTTCTCTACTATCTCCTTCGGTTCGACCTTCCGTTGGAGAGCTGACAAGAATTTAAGTGCGCCCATTCGGGGATTGTCTTGATCTTCCTTCTTGTCAAGCATAGTCTCAACCTTTGCGTCATTGCACTCTTGAATGGACACTTGGAGCGCAGTGAGAGAGGCCCGATGAGGATAGTAAGATACCTTGTGGGGACCTTTACAGAGCATGCATTGTAACGGCGTCGTCGGGTGGTTCCTTTGATGGTAAGGTCCTCGAGATGTCCCTGCTTGGTTATTCTGTGGAGGTCTATCCGTCCATCCGCTTGGTCTGTCGTTACCTCCGTTCGGCCTGTTGGGGCTTCCATTTTGATGACTTGGTGGTTTGTATGGCTTGCCACCAGTGTTTGGGGCTGGTGTTATTCTCCTTTGGGATCCCGCTTCGTTCCCATAGTCCAGGAGTCTCTCGGCACAGGCCATTGCGGCGGCTAGGGTTTGGACCTTGTTCTCGTGTAGCTTTGTTTTGGCCCACGGTTGCAACCCATTTATAAAGAAGAACACCTTGTCCTTCTCTGATGTGCCCCTGATATCGAGCATCAGGGTTGAGAACTGTCTGACATAGTCTCGTATGCTTCCAGTGTGTTTCAGGGCTACTAGCTTTTCCATTGCTAAATGTCCTGCGTTTTCGGGGAGGAACTGGTCCCTCAACTCTTTCTTAAGGTCCTCCCACGAGTCAATGGTGCACAATCCATCCTCGATGTCTTGCACCTTCGTACGCCACCACAGTTTGGCGTCGTCTGTGAGATACATCGAAGCTACGGTCACCTTCTTGTCGTCAGTACAAGCCGTTGTGGCTTTGAAGTACTGTTCGACATCAAAGATGAAGTTTTCTAACTCTTTGGCGTCCCGATTCCCTTTAAAGGCTCTAGGTTCTGGGAATCTTAGTTTGTTGGACCCTGTATTTGTTTGTCCAGCCGTGACGTTCTCCACGGCTTTCATGGTCACTTCAATTCGAGTGCCCATGGAGGCCATCCTTTCTTGGATGTCATCGATTGTTGTTCTGAACTCATCAGCTAGTCCATTGAACAAGCTCATCATTGTATTTTGTAGCACGTCGAACTCTTCGCCACGTCCCTCCTTGTGCGCGACAGAGCTATCCGGACTACCAGATGGTTTTGGGCTGCTCGTAGGAGCAACTCTTTCTTCGAGCGAGGTCACTCGAAACATCAATTCTGCGATTGGCAACCCATCCAGGCGGTTGCCCATTGCGTCGATTCCTACGACTTTCTCACTCAATTCGGTCACCCGTGCTTCCAGGAAGCGGAGGGTGTCAGGGACTTCTTTGAGGAACAGCATTTCCTCCTCTATTAGCGTAAGCCGGTCGGCTTGTGCTTTGGGTGTCGACTTTGTCGTCGACATGGTTTCGGTCTTTACTGAGTCACGGAGCTAACAAAGCTCTGATACCACTTGACACAATCGCACTCTTAAGGGCAGCGGACTAGCGATTGTGCGGCACTCACTTTCCAACGACAAGTGAGCTGAGCCAATTTGTACTTGCGTCTCCTACGGCCAAGCGACGTATGATCGAGCCTCTAGCCTCGGTTTTAAAAGAAGGTTTTGGAAAACGAGGGTAGAGAGAGATTTTAGAAAGAGAGATTTTTGAAAGAGACGTTATATAAGCAAGCAAGAGAGAGATAACAACGGCTTAGCATATATAACCTTGGGTAGGGAGAAGTTGACAACTAGTCATATCCCCCTATAGTACATTTTGAGACATTTCATGTCTGGCAGGCCTAGACATGATATTTTTGAGGCGTCATACGCCCTAGAACTATAGAAGTAAAAACACTAGAATGAAAAGACATGACAAGGGTTTGGCTTGCCATAGGCATGCGGCCATGGGCAACACGCCCTGGACGAGCATGACCGTGACACTGTGCATGTTAGCCCATATTCACTCAAGTAAGATCGATGGATCGATGAGTGGCATCATCAAAGAACATTTACATAAAGACCCATCGGCCAAAGTCGTTGTTGAACTAGCCAAAGCTGGGAAGACACGACAGTTTTGTGTCGAGAGAGACCTTCTAATGACAAAAGGAAACAGATTATACGTTCCAAGAACAGGAAATTGAGGAAGAAGCTCATTCAGGAATGTCATGATACCTTATGGGTCGGACACCCTGGGTGGCAACGAACATATGCCTTAATCAAAAAGAGTACTTCTGGCCAAATATGCAAGACGACATCATGCAGTACACCAAGACGTGCCTCATCTACAATTGGACAAAGTCAAGAAAGCCAAAGTCTCGGGGCTCTTGGAACCTCTACCCATGCCAACAAGACCTTGGAAAAGTGTGTCTCTAGACTTCATAACACTTCCCAAAAGTCGGGGAATATGATGCCATCTTGGTTGTCGTAGATCGGTTCTCGAAATACACGACGTTCGTTCTCACCCCCAAACTATGCTCAGCTGAACTAACAGCCCAATTATTTTTCAAACACATTGTAAAGTTATGGGGCATTCCATCGAGCATCATCAGCAATAGGGATGGTAAATTCATCGGCACATTCTGGACCGAGTTATTCACCTTCTTAGGAATGACTTTAAACATCTCCTTGAGCTATCATCCTCAAACCGATGGACATACAGAACGGTTCAACTGCTTGCTCGAAGAGTACTTACTTCACTTCGTTGACGCTCGCTAGAAGAACTGGATACAACTGCTAGATGTCATCCAATTCTGTTTCAATTGTCAGACAAGTTCGTCTGCAGGAAAGAGCCCCTTTGAAATTGTAAGTGGACGACAGCCGGCTTTGCCCCATATTATTGATTATCCTTATGTAGAAAAAAACCTTTAAGCTCAAAATTTCACCAAAGAATAGAAGCATGCAACAGATATAGCCCAGGCATATTTGGAGAAAGCTTCCAAACATATGAAGAAGTGGGCAGACAAGAAACGTCGCCCCCTCCAATTCCGAGCAGGAGACCAAGTCCTCATCAAGTTGAGACTAGAACTAGTCAGATTCCGTAGTAGAAAGGACCAGAGACTAGTTCAAAAATATGAAGTCCCAGTTGAAGTCCTTAAAAAGATCGGGGCTACTTCCTACAGAGTTGCGCTACCCACATGGATGAAAATTCACCCAATAATTCATATGAGCAACTTGAAGCCCTATCATCCTGATCCAGACGATGACCAGCGAAATGTAATCACGAGACCGAGCATCTATCTGAAACAAAGAGACACCAAAGAAATAAAGGAGATCCTAGCCGACAGAGTTAGGAAGATAGGAAGACCTGTACGAAAGATTCGTGAATTCCTTGTCAAATGGAAGAATCTCCCTACGGAGGAAACCAGCTAGGAACGCGCCGAAGATCTGGACTCCGCCCCCACCCACATCGCCAGGTTTGAAAGTAGTCAGTTGAGAGAGAAGTCAACCAATTAGGTGGGGGAGAATGTCACAGTCATGCTCGTCCAAGGCGTGTTGCCCATGGCTACATGCCCATGACAAGCCAAAACCTTTATGTCTTTCCATGTTCTAGTATTTTACTTTTGTGTTTCTAGGGAGTATGACGTTTCAAAAAAATCATGTCTAGGCCTGCCAGACATAAAATGCCTCAGTACAGGGGGATATGACTAGTTGTCAATTTCTCCCTGCCCAAGGTTATATATTGTGAGCCGTTGTTGTTACTCTCTTGCATGCTTATATAACGTCTCTTTCAAAAATCTCTTTTTGTCCTCATTTTCTAAAACCTTCTGTTAAACTGAGGCCAGAGGCTCGAGCATACGTCGCTTGGTCGTAGGCGACGCAAGAACAAATTGGTTTTTCTCACTTGTCGTTGGAAAGTGAGTGCCGCACAATCACAAGTCTACTGCCATCAAGAGTGCGATTGTGACACATGACACCAAGGGGTTCCACTGACCTCTAAACGTCGCTACAAAGTAGCTTAACCAAAGAGGGTCCAAGGGGTGTGCGAGCCCCCTCGGGATTCACACTCGCACGTGTGGGTCGTGTGTAGGGAAGTACTACACATTCATAGTAGTTTGAGATTGGAGGTTACCCCTAGAGAATAGAGATAGGTCCCAAGAGCATGATTACATGTGTTTGCATTTGCATGGCCCCCTATAATGGGGCACTAACTTAGTATTCTTTGAAATACTCAGGCGTGTGCCACATCATTTGTCAAGTAAAGGTAAGGCATACATATACGGAGGATGGCGACATCGTGAGCAAAGACTATGGCACGTGCATAGGGTAAGACTCATATTTAAATTTCTAGTCTTATGTTAGAATAGGTTGTTTTGCATTTCGTTATTTTGTATTTATTTTTATTTTGATTTCAGTACTTCGTATTTAAAGCTGTGTTTTCTAGAGAAGAGATTGTTTTAAATGTTTTCGTTAGTTATATTCCGCATTATAATAGAGCATGAGACATTAATAATAACTGAGTATGTAGAAATTTAAGATTGCTACAATAGAGGTCTACATAGTAATAGTAGGCAGAGGTTCACTCCTATAGATTATGATTTATTATATTATATTGAATTATTAGAACCAACTAAGTTCTAATAGTGAACTCTCAGAGACATACATTTATAGAGAGAATTTGAGTTGATCCGATCTCCATAAATTCCTCTCCAACTAAATTTGTTAAATCGAACCCACCCGAATTTAATGTTAATTTAAAAGAATACATTGTTTTGCTTAATATATAATTGATATGGGCATAAATCTATTTTATTCTTTATTTAATTTCATAATTATTTTTTTATTATATTTCCTCCAACCATTTTTTAAATTAATTTTTATAAATTTTTCAAATATATATTTAAATGCCCGAAAGAAATAAATAAATACTTTACGAACTAACCATTTATTTTTATTAAAAATAAAAATTTAAATAAACCATCCTAACAAAACAAACCATCTCAAAAAATTTATTATCAACTCAACCCAATCTAATAATAATTTTTTTTGAATCCTAGAATGATCCGAAGTCTAGCGGAATTTATCGACACCACCTTGATGCATTTTGGCACAGTAAGGAAAGAGGGTGCCATCGAAGCAACGCCTAACAGCCTCCTTTGATAAGAACCCATTTTCGTCCTTTGCAAGAACATACAAAGCTCCCCACTCCAACTTGCTTGCGGCCCTGCAACCAATAATGCCTCTCTACTCTTATTAAAATTCTACATAAACAAACCAAGCTTCTAATAATATTCCATCAGTTGTAAACAAACAAAGAAGAGAGTGCACCAGCCAAAGAAATCGAAAATATCACGGTTTGCGTTGGTCATGTGCCACAGTTCTTTGAAGCTAAGCTTGTCTGCCTGAGTCACACCATATTTGCTGAATATATTCTCTAGCTGTGCTGGAATGAACCTGCACAAACACACATTTACTTCTAAGCTCTGCTCCATCGTTATTTATTCTCTTCTTAACCTTTTCTCGACTCGGGGTGTTGTAGAAATAGGGATGTCTTCTTTGTCTCCGCCCCATTTCGCCTTTTGGAAATGGAGACAGATGTTCATATGACCTGATAACTCCAGATTAATATGGACTAGTCAATCCTATGTTAGATGAACACGACTCTCCATAATGGTATGATATTGTCCACTTCGAGCATAACTCTCATAGTTTTGCTTTGGGCTTCCCCAAAATGTCTCACACTAATAGAGATAGTATTCCTTGATTATAAACCCATGATTATTTCCTAATTTAGCCGACGTGGGGCTTTCATCCAACACCTCCCCTCGAACAAAGTACATCTCCCTTTAATCGAGGCTCGACTCCTTTTTTCTTTTGGAGTCCTTTGTTCGACATTTGAGAATTCTATTGGCATGACTCTGATACCATGTAAGACAAACACGACTCTCCACAATAGCTTTGCTTTGGGCTTCTCCAAAAAGTCTCGTACCAATAGAGATAGTATTGTTTGATTATAATCCCATGATCATTATAATCTCATGATCATTCCTTAAACTAGCCGATGTGGAACTTTCATTCAACACCCAAATCATAAAACTTGGGTTGAGTTAGATTTTTTTCGATTTGAGTTGGGTTAAATTTTCTGGAAATTGAAAAACTCATTAGTTTGCGGGTTGATTTGCAAGTTGTTGACATTTTTTGGTTGGGACAACTTGACAACCCGAAAATAGTGTTGCAACCTAACACAACCTAGCCTACTTTTAAGTTGTAACTTGTAGTAATATGTATGGTAGATAAATAGAAATTTTTAAAAAATAGTTATGAACTCTATTTGAATTGCTAAAATCATCCATCTAATCAATTCGAAATTTTATGTTTTGTTCCATCAATCTAGAAAAGTTATATTGGATTTTCTCCATTATGAAATATCCTTAAAACTAGAAAACTAAATTCAAAATTTTAAACCTAATATATATTCAAGACTACTTAACTAGAAAACAAAATAAATAAAAAAACTTCATAAAAAGAATGCAGTTTGAAAGTAGAACTCACCTTCCTTCAGTGTCATAGGTCCCTGAATCACTTCCATGCTTTGCCTTGTGGATGTTTCTTACATATATTGGGAAGAAAGGAGAAGGTATCCAACTCTGAAACCAACCCAAAATCAATTTAAAACATGTTTTTAATCATTCAAATCAATTTAAACGCGCGATTATTACCGAGAGAGTCGCATAACTGAGAGCTCCATGAATAAATATCATAAAGAAGAACGAAAAAATCATATTGAATCCCATAGCTCGAAATCCTACAAAAATTACATTATTCATGTCGAGGATTGAGTCACACATTGACTAATTAAGAAAATGATCATAAATTTATAAGTAAAGAATACTCTCCATTGGTACTAGGTTCTGGAAAAACAAAAAATAAAGTCACGAAAGCTTATACACAAAATAGACAATATCGTATCACCGTGGAGAGTCATGTCATGTCCTTAACTTATCCATATCAATAGAATATTCAAATATCGAACAAAAAAAGTTGTAAGCCTCGAAAATGTAGTAAAACAATGACTCAAGTATAGGATAGAGGGTGTACTTTGTTCGAAGACTCCAAAAAAAAAAAAAGGAATTAAACCTCAATTAAGGGAAAGGGGAAAGGGAAGTTGTTTGGGGGCTCTAAAGCCTCATGGGAGGTTTATATCATTTTGGGAAGTCGTGATTTCTAACAATTTATATCAATGATGTGTTTCCATGGTTGGATGAAAGTCTCATATCTGCTGATCATGAGTTTATAATCAAATAATACTATCTCCATTAGTACGAGGTATGAGGTCTTTTAAGAAGCCGAAAGCAAAACCATGAGAACAGGTTCAAAGTGGACAATATCATGCTATTATAGAGAGTTTTATTCATCTAACATCGATGAGCGTACCTCGGTACGTGTCCCATGGCCGGATAATGCCATCGTCGTCTTGATCGAAAAATGAAACATGCTGTTGAAGCACAGACATTCCATTGTGTTTGTGGCTCCATGTTCCATTGATGTTTTCCGAATCCGGCGCCGCCAGAGCTCTCGCTAAATCTGCAACAACAACAAAACAAAACATTACACCATGACGACGTCTTTCTCCGGCGAGATTCAACAGAAGAACGAACACAGGGTTGCGTTTTTTGGACTCACATGGCTTTGGGAGATTGGTGTCCAGATCGCTTCGAACTTTGCGCTCCAATGTGATGGGTGACTTCTCGGCCGTGGTTGCCATGGCCTCCGCCGACGCCTCTGTTGCCATTCTTTAATTTCTGTGCTTCTTTCCCAAAAGTTTGGCGGTGAAATGATATCAAATGTGGAGTTATTGGGCTGTTTTGTTTCGACAGAGATGCCGTTGCAGACGGACGCTATGCTTGTGGTGATCCTTCCAGTGTTGTTATTTATTTATTTATTATTATTATTTTTCCTTAATTTTCGTGTTTGAAAATTTTCAAATACTTATTCAAAAAATGAATTTCAAGTGCTTTTTAGATGATGCATTTAATTTATTTTATTCTAAAAGCATTTATCAAAAGATAAATTGTTATACCTCATATTATTTTTGTTTTATTTTATTAATAAAGTTTATAATTTGATATACTATTTTGTATAACTACTAAAAAAAAATATACCAGATACATATGTGAGTCTATGAAATACCACATCGATGGGAGAAGGGAATGAGCGTTAGCGAGGATGCTGGGCCGAAGGGAGTGGATTGTGAGATCCCATATCAGATTGGGGGTTCCACATTGGATCGAATTGAAGAAGGGAACAAGTGTCAGCGAGAACACTGAAACTTGAAGTGGGTGGACATCGTATGGTGTGCAAGTGAGAACGTTGGGCCTCGAAGGGAGAGTGAATTGTGAGATCCTACATCGATTGGAGAAGGGAACGAGTGTTAGCGAGGATGCTGGGTCGAAGGGAGGTGGATTGTGAGATCCCACATCAGATTGGGGGTTCCACATTGGATCGGATTGAAGAAGGGAACGAGTGTCAGCGAGAACACTGAGGCTCGAAGTGGGTAGACATCGTATGGTGTGCAAGTGAGAACATTAGGCCTCGAAGGAGGGTGGATTATGAGATCCCACATTGATTGGAGAAGATAACGAGTGACAATGAGGACGTTGGGCTCTGAAGGGAGTGAATTGTGAGATCTCACATCGGATTGGGGGTCCCACGTTGATTGGAAAAGGGAATGAGCGAAGATGATGGCCCCGAACGGGATCAATTATGAAATCTCATATCGCTTGGGGAGAATAACTGAACTTTCTTTATAAGGGTGTGAAAACCTCTCCATACCAAATTAAAAACCTTAGGAGAAGTTGAAGAAAGAGTCCAAATAGAACAAAACCTTAGAGGAGAAATGGAAGGAAAAGCCTAAATAGAACAAAATTTGTTACTGATGAGCTTGGGCCTTACAGAGCCCATTACATTGACTTCTCGTTGAAATTAGTTGGCGACCATTTAACACTCGATCATAGTAACTTGATAGTGTGAAAGACACATGCATAATCATAGGCATGACATGTTGGAAAGTGTCTATAGTATGTTCATAATAAACTCTTATTCAGAACATCACATGATATACTATAGCAGGCCAATGCTCAAAGAAAATTTTAAGCCCTACATGAATTTTAACTTGAGTTTGTCATAAATGAAGCTCGAGCGCATTAAATGCAACTCCATTTTGTTATAAACTTAGATGTGTAGGGTATAATTGCAATTTCTTACTTCAATCGTACGTTGCATGAATCTTGTAGATCACTTCAAGTTGAATCTAGTTGGACTAAAATCGCACCGAAGAAAGTATCAAAGGGCAATAATATATGGAAAATCGATAACTCTAACCTCACTTTCGATAAGATCTCTCTCGTGCGCGTGGTGTTTGGGATGATTTGCTTCCTCCACAAAATGAGCAACAACTTGAGGATGCTTACCTCGTATTCTACCTTCAATGTTAAGTTTGAACGACGAGTAAATCATCGTGAATTTCGGTGACTATAAGTCTTAAATTTTTTTTTGGAAGACTTAAATTGAATTTTAGTTAAAAGAATTTATGTCTAAAATTCTTAAATTGAATTTGGGTGAGTAATAAATGTTAAATTTTTAATTAAGACGTGAATTTTAAAAAATGTGGAATAGGATCCAGGTAGTTTAGGACGAATATTAAACTATTTTAACAATTAATAAATATATATATATGTGTGTGCGCGTATATATATATATATATTCCGGTTCGGTTTAAGGTTGATGAAGACTGAGTCGAACCGAACGATTTGAAGGGCGATTGAATTTGCTTTGGCTGTGCTTAGTGCTTACTGCTTAGTGCTTACTGCTTAGTTTTGGATACCATCTCTCCACTTAGAGCTCCATTGCAGGTGCTCTCTGCTTCCAGTTTCCTATCTCCCCAACTCATTTCTCACTTCTACTTCTTTGTACGTTACTTTTTCATCTCCCCCGATGGGCAAGGCGGTGATCTCCGATGACGAAGGTTTGACCTCGTCTCTGTTCTTTCAATTTTCGCACGGATTTTTAGGGCCCTCTTTGCTTTCTTCCCCTTTTCTCACTGGTGTGTTTCTGTAGATGAGGTCGAATTGGAAGACCGGGAACCGCTTGACGGTGACGATGTTGACGGTCACAACATGAGGGACGAGGACGACGAAGAAGATGGTTTGTATCTTCGTTTTGTATCAGGAATCGTTGGTTGTTGTTTTATTCAGTTTAATTTAATTTCGGTGTGTGTTTTTGGGCTTATATGGCTCGATTGGTTGTTTGTATGTCGGCTTTATTTTCTGGTTCGCTCGTGAGGAGTGTGTTGCTCTACCCATCCTTTGTTCTTCCGTTCGTTTTTAGTGGATGAGAAACTGCGACGAGTCCTTAAGTTATGGGCAGACTTGTTGAGCTGGGTTGGGGACTAAGGATGAAACTGAAGGGCATGGCATATTTGTAACTCATTAGGGTATGTGGCATATCCTATGAGTTCCGTGAGTCAGTAATTGTCAAATGTTTAGGTGTTGCATTAGCTATCATTAGGTATACTCGGCTTCAAGACATTAAGATAAAAAAAAACTGTTTTCATGCATTCGAGGTCTTCCTTCCTAGTTATGGATGATTTGGGGTGCGAATAGAAACTAAATGGCAACTTTATGTCTATAAATGTGGTTTAGGAATGGTAACAGCTTAAAATTCATGTATCTAAACTTTGAGGTGCGTTTATTTGATTCCTAAACTTTCAAAATTACAAATTTAGTTTTTGAACTTTTGAATTTTTTAAAATTCATGTATCTACTAGATACAAGATTGAAAGTTTAGGATTCTAACGGACATAAGATTTAAAATTATACGTAATGGATCAATTAATGTATAAAAAAATTGAGTTTTTTAAGGACCAAATTTCATGGACTTATTAGATACAAAATTGAAAGTTTAAGGATCTGTTAGATACTTTTGAAAGTTTAGGGACCAAATAGACCTGAGCCACTTTTGATGCTACTGCTTATATTTATGGATCACCCCTTTAGTGGAAAAGCTAAAATTTGTTGGTTAAATGCAATTATGGAAACCTGCTAGATTTTTTAGCTTGTGAAGAATATTAGTTTTTTTTTTTTTTTTTGTTTTAACAATACACGTTAATGCAATTGCTTAATCGAGGAGTTCATGTCTGTACTTGGTAGGATGATTATTTAATTGGGAAAGGTTCTTTCATTTTCTATATATGTTTGTACTTGGTAGGATGATTATTTAATAAAATGTTTTGATCTAAAAGGAAAAGATTAGCGCCGCTGTAAGACATTGAAATTAATTTGTGGTTAAATAGTCATTATTCAGCTTATCCTTTTCATATAGTCTCTGTTTGTAGGAAAAAATAATTTTAAATGTATGGTCCTTTATTTTGCTGCTGCCAGTACCTTATTTGTAATAAGCCATTTTTTTTCAGAAGAAGAACAGGATGAGTATGAAAAGGATGGTTTCATAGTTGATGATATTGAAGAAGAAGATGAAGAAGATGTAGAGGAGAGGGAAGACAGTGATGATGAAAAGCAGAGGAAGAAGAAAAGGAAGAAAAAGTGAATTTTACTCTCTGACTTGTTGTTTAATGTTATTTTATACTTGAAATTGATATTGTCTTTCTGCCTGTTCAAATGAGTTTAGTCTGAAATAATAGTTAAAGTAGGTCAAAGATCAGGTGGTATAATTTTTTTGGATTATTATTTGTTAATAAACAGTGTAACACATTGGGTTGGCATATCTGTCCATCTCCCTCTTTATGTTGTTGCATATAGTGTATAGTAGGTCAAGTAGCTCTTTATGTCTAAAAGTTCTCAATAGATCTTCTATTGACCAGAGATGATTTTCGCTTTCTTAGGGAGGAATATGTGCTCGATGAAGATGACTATGAACTCCTTGAGGACAACAATATTAGCATTCAACGACCAAAGGTAGTGGTACTGTATTTTGATACTGTTGCTTCATAGTATTTATTTCTGAGCATTTGTCTTCATCTTTTTCAGGGCAGCAAAAAGTTTAAGAGGCTTAAAAAAGCTCGAAGGGACAATGTGGAACCTTCTGGGTTTTTGGACGATGAGGATTTTATAGAAAGCAGCAGAGGTGGACGAACGGCTGAGGAAAAACTTAAACGTAGCTTGTTTGGTGATGATGAAGGTATACATTTGAATTCATTTTTTCTTACTGCCACATTTCTAACTGAAGTACCAAGCTACTTTCTCAAATAGTCATCTTTCTTATTACTTTTTGAAACATTATGGTGTAATTATTTGAAGCTCCACTTGAGGATATTGCGGAAGAGTTGGAACAACCTGAAGAGGAAGAAGATGTCGACATTGGAGATGAGGATGAAATGGCTGATTTCATTGTAGATGAAGAAGTTGATGAAGATGGGGCTCCCTTAAGGTTTTTTTCTTCATATATTTTGGAGCCTCAGACCACTTCTTCTAGTGTTTTTATCTATTTTATCACCATTAATCATCTTTTTATACATATAAAATCTCAATTTATTAACTGTTCGGTCTAGGAGGAGGAAGTTGAAGAAAAAAAAATCCAGGCAAGCACCCGGTGTTTCATCAACTGCTTTGCAGGAGGCACATGAAATTTTTGGCGATGTCGATGAGCTCCTTCAGCTTCGCAAGAGAGAATTGGATACTCATGAGTGGCATGAGAATAGATTAGAAGATGAATTTGAACCGATTGTAATTTCTGAGAAGTATATGACAGAAAAAGATGACCAGATAAGGGAGATTGATATGCCCGAAAGAATGCAGGTTTCTTTTTATTTCTGATATATAACTTCATATTGTATATGCATTCTTCATGGGTTTTCATTTCATTTCCTTTCTTATA